CAATCTTTTTTTAAATTAATTTTTAACTAAACTATAAATATAATATTTAAAAAAGTTTTATTAAGATTTTTATGGAGGAATAGAAAAATAAAAGATCGAGTTTTTAAGTAAATATAAGTAGTTTAATTCCCCAAAATGGATTTTTGACTAAAATTTATTCTAAAAATACTTTTATATTTTATAATTTACCGTATTTGCTCTAATAGAACGGCCGGCCATTCTATTTTTTAAATATCCCCCGAAGAGCCATTCTATTAGAAGGATCATTCAAATTGAGGGATTCTATTAGAGGAAACACGATAATTATAAAAATAAATAAACAAATTTATTTTTCAATCAATCCCTCTCTCTCAAAAAAATAACCTAAACAATAGTCAAAAAATTTCCTCATAATTTTTATCGCGTGCACGTTACAAAATACTAATTTTTTATAATAAATAAAGGCACACATCCACTTCTTCTTCCTTATCATCATCATCTCATCATCATCATTCTCCACTTGAACCTCCTCCAAAATATAAATTATTTCCCTCAAAATCGCCATACTTGTTTGTGTTTGTTTCCTGTATATTTCCGCCCCCGTTTCTTCCCTCCCCCTTCTTACTCACCCTCCAAATTTCTCATTTTTTAAATTTCCTTCAACCCCCACCGGTGGTCCTTCCTTCTTCTCGTTAATCCTTCCTTTACAGGGCAACTCAATTTATTAGTTTTCTACAAGTTAGTTTAACCAAATGAGAATCCAAACACACAATCGGTAAATGAAAAAAAATAACTCAACTAAAATTAGTTTTCTTTGGGGAATTAAATTGAAAGTAAAAAATAAAAAAAAAACAAACAAATAAAAAAAAAAGAAGTTTTTAAAGTAATTCTTTTTTTCAAAAAAAAAAAAAGTACTGGATTTTGGAAATTATAAAAACTAAAAAGAAGGTAAAGACAATTTATTTTATTATAAAAAATTTTTAAATAATTAAAAATAATATTTGGAAAAAAACAAAGTAGGTACTAGATAATAAGGTTGTCGGATAGGTGGAAATCTTCGGATACCCGGATCCGACAACCTTACTACAGGGTGCCTCAAAAGTCTTTGCCCGCACATTTTTTAGCATAACTTTATTAAAACTTAATCAAATAAATAAGATCAAAATACAATCAAATAATAGAGAATTAAATGGAGAACAAAATAAATCAGGATTTTTCGAAATACCTTCCTTTAGCTTTAAAATAGAGCCGCAAACGCAAACAAAAATTTTTGCAAAATTGCCGCACCTCCTTGGTTCCTCTTTTTAGATGCCAAAATTTTTATGAAAGAGACATGTGCGAATCGCAAAAATGACTGATACTGTGCCTCAAAATCTCCTCTTTCTTATCCAGTTGTTAAGGATTTCCAAAACCCTTCCCTCGAAATGATATGGACTGTTATTTGCAAAACGATCAAAATTCCTTGATTTTTATGAATCCTTGGGTCAAAATAAATAAATACTTTGATCTACTCGAAATCCCTCAGTATGTTTTAGAGCACTGGGTTTGGGAAAACTTTTGGTATAGGAACTGGATCTATAAGTAGAATTCATCCCCTGATTATAAGGCTAAAGTGATGCAAGGTTGTCTTGTTGCCAATTTTCTCGGTTTTAGTGTGCCTCAAAAATGGCTACCGTACACACCGGGTTTGAATCCTTGGATTTATTTTTTTGATCAATTTTGGAGGCAACGTTCTTTGCTTAATAACCCCAAAGTTTGGAGTCACTCCGACAATCACTCGTTCAGAAATGGGAAAAAATTACCCCATAATAGGTGCGGCAATTTTGCAAAAATTTTTGTTTGCGTTTGCGGCTCTATCTTAAAGCTAAAGGAAGGTATTTCGAAAAATCCTGATTTATTTTGTTCTCCATTTAATTCTCTATTATTTGATTGTATTTTGATCATATTTGATTAAGTTTTAATAAAGTTGTGCTAAAAAATGTGCGGGCAAAGACTTTTGAGGCACCCTGTAGATAAATTATATTTATTTTGTTTGTGTAAACTCTCAAAAATATTATTTAAATAATTAAAGGGTTTAAGATGGAAAATGTTAATTTAAAAAAATAAAATTATGACATGAATCGCAACTTTAATATTCATATTTTCTAATAGCTAGAAATATGTATGATAAAGGTTGTTTTCTAAATAAATAGTTTATTCCAAAATTTAATAAAATTATTAAAATACACTAAAAAATTCTAGTATAATTTTAATGTTATGTAAATATTAAAAATAAAATTTTAGAAAAATAATAATTTGATGATTAAATCTTTAAAAAAATACATAAACTTTAAAAAACTTTCTAGACAATTCAGGCAATCGACAAGAGAACTACTGCGTGTAAATGTTCTCTTATAAAATATTCCCCCTCAAATTATAATTTTTATAAAATTTTATTGAAAGAATGAGAGTGGCACTTAAACTAAAAGTGGTTTTGAAGAGGAAGACAAAAATTTTTTTCAATTTTTTGGCCAAAAATGATTGACCTAATAAATCCTTTTTTTAATTTTGATTTGTATAATCCTCAACTAGAAGAATAAAAAGTGAAAGAAGGAAAAGAAGGAAAAGAAAATTATTTTTGAAGAAAAATTCAACTGAAAAAATTCTCTATCAAAAATAAAAATATTAAAATTTACAAATCATTTATTTTAATAAAATATACTGAACATCTATTTATGTCAAAAAAGGGATGTTTACGTATTAGGATTTTGAATTCAATATTCAATGTAAAATAATTTTATTGAATTTATTAAATTTAGCTTAAAATATTTTTGTGGAAAATTTTAGAAGGTTACCACTTTAACCAGAAATAAAAACAAACATTATCTTGTTTGAAACACTTCATTATATCAAGGAATTTTATTGAGGAATTATAATAAAAATAGCTAATTAAAATTACAGGTAAATCATTTCTGATAATTAAAGGCACCAAATTAATGTGCACAATTAAAAAAACACTTTTTACAGGCGAATATGTATTTAGGTAAATTAAACCAAAAAAGCTAGTACATAGTAAAATAGTAAATTTAATTTTTAGGAAAAATTAAACAAAAACAAACACTAAAAAGAGAATTTTTATATTCGTTTAAAATTTATTTCTAAAAATAAATTTAATTTTTATAATTAATTTAGTGTTTGTAAAAAATGACTATAAAAACAGAAAAAAAAGGAAAAGAGAGAAAACAAAAAATAATCAGAATTATTTAGTCTTCAACAGGACAAGAAGTGAATCATGTATAGACGATGGAGAAACTGAAAAAAATAATTTAAAAAATCATAAAAATTTTTTTAATTTAGCAAAACATAGGAGAAATAAAAAGCCAAAATTTTCTTTTTATCAAAATTAATTAAAAAAATAACCAATCTTTATTGATAAAAATCTAAATGACCAAAAATCGTGGGATGTTTGAAATAACTTTATCGTTTTTTATAATTAAATAAACAAAACCCACAGAAAAAGAAACGGAACCTATTTGTGAAAGACACAAAAAGTAAAATTCCATAGATTTTTAGGAAAAAACTTTACAATTAAATAGAAAGTAAATTTAGCTTACACTTAAATTTCTCCAAAAATTAAACTTAAATAAATTTAATTAATTATTACATATATGCAATCCCCGAAGCTCTCATTGTGTTGTTGCTCCATACTTTGTTGGCGTGCCCGGTGTTGTTTGAGAACATGTAGGCGCGTCACTGCCAGGATTTGCTTCCGAATAAGGAGGTGGAGGCTCGTAACTCGTTGTTATTTTTATTCCCTCGATGTCTTCATAAATTGTAAATTTTTGGAATTTATTTTCTTCAGTATCAAAGGCAGTCTTAAAATTTTAAAATAATTGGGTAAAATTAGAAACGTTAAAAATACTTGATTGGAAGTTTGTTGAGGTTGTGTAGATATTGGATCTTCAGAATTACTTGACAAATCGAATGGCTAAAATATAATTTATTTAAAATATTATTTACAAAAATTACATTGGAACCGTCCATTCTTTTAGGTTTGTATTTTCCACAGCAACAATTGCAACAACCATTGAAACAAAAACAGCAACAGCAGCAACAGAAAAAGCACCCGCAAGTTAAGAAACAAATTGAGCAGAATAACCACTAAAAATTGTTTTTGAAAAATATTTATTTAATTAAATTAAAAACAAAATTTTTACTTTTAACCAAGGTTTAAGCATGATATTAATGTGCTCCTCTCCAAGTTGATCGGCCATCTAAAATCAAAAATATACGAGAATCCAATCAAAAATAAACCTTAAGACCCATATCTCCATATTCATCATAAATTCTCCTTTTTGATGGATTAGAAAGAATTGTATTTGCATAATTAATTTCTTGAAACTAAAAATTCAAAGTAGTAAAAAATTAAAATAAAAAATTACCTTTTTATTGAAGTCTTCATTATTTTGATTTTTATCAGGATGGTACTTTAATGCAAGACGACGATAAGCACCTTAACAGTTTTGTTTCAAAAACAAAAAAAAAACAATATACTCACGCTTAATATCATCATCAGTTGCATTTTTAGTTAATCCCAAAATCTCATAAAGATTGCCTTTCTTCGTCAAACTAAAAAAATAAATTTATTAAAATACAAATAAAAAGTCACAAACGAGTCATTCAAAAAACCGGCACCAGCTGATCGTCTATTTTCACTGCTTGAAGATCTCGTATATTCTGGTTCAGGTGTCATAGGTTTGTCTTTTCTAAAAAAATTGATTACTAAATTGTTAAACAAAGAGAAATGAAATTGTGACTGTGTGAATCATTACAAAAACTCTTTAAAATTAGGTGAAAATTGAGAAATAATCATTAACAAATAAGGACAAAAATCCTTTCTTTTTCTTATCATTTTCTCTCAATACACTATTTTCTCATCTCATTTCTCTGCAGCTAGACTTCAATTTGGAAAAATAATAGTGTGTCGATTTGGTAACTTTTAAAATATAATTTCGGTTATTTGAGTGCCCATATTTGAGTGCTTACAATTGAGGGCGAGATTCTTTATTTTAACAATTCTTTTGTTTTCAGTTTTTTCATGTTAATTTTATTTTCTAGTTTCAACATGTTTCGTGCTGTTCTAAATAATTCCCAGCGGGCTTTAATTTTGGCAAATTATGAAGGGCAGAGAGGATTTGCAACTTTAAAGGATATCTCAATTCGACTTAAATCTATTAAAAATATTCAAAAGATTACTAAATCAATGAAAATGGTTTCTGCCGCTAAATATGCCAAAGCTGAGCGAGAACTCAAAGGAGCTCGTATTTATGGCCAAGGAGCTCAAGTATTTTTTGAAAATTTGATGAAGGATGTCGCTGCCCAAAAAGACGATACACCTACTGCAGGAAGCAAACGGATTCTTGTAATGGTGACAAGTGATCGAGGGCTTTGTGGTTCTGTCCATACATCAATCGGAAAGGTTTATTTTAATTTTGAATTTTTTATGCTTTTATTTCTTGAAGAGTAAATACTGATTGAATTTAAATTTTTATATTTTATTTAAAAATTTAAGTTGACAAGAAGTATTTTGACAACCAAACCAGAGGGTGTCGAATATAAGCTTGTTTGTATTGGTGACAAAGCCCGGGCACAAATGCAGCGTCTTTATTCGAAAGACTTTCTTTTTACCGCTAATGAAATTGGGCGTACTCCACCAACATTTCACGATGCTTCAGTTACTGGTTTTTTTATTTGAATATTTAAAGTAATTTGGAATAAATTTTTAGCAAATGCAATTCTCTCTTCTGGTTATGAGTTTGATGGAGTATTTATTTTAAATTATTTATTTTAAAAAATTCTTTTTAGGGTGATATTCTCTACAATCAATTTAAGACGGTTGTTTCTTTTGAGACGAAACGTCTTCCAATTCCATCTTTACAAACTATTCGAAGTTATCCTCGTTTGAGTATTTATGATTCAATTGATGATGACGTCCTTAAACGGTATTTTTTTAATTAAAGTGTTAAAGGATTTTGGAAAAATTTTTAATCCCATTAATATATTTCATTGTTGAAACATTTTTCGAGTTAAAATGGGTAATAGTGTCGTTTCCATACCCCCTTTTTTCCTCCACAAGTTTTTTACTATAATTTGCACAGAATGGACAGACTTTTCCTCTTTCCATCACAATTTCCTTTCTTTCTAAAAAACTAAATAAAAAATAATCATTCTTGATTGTTTGATGGCAGAATATATAAGGCATTGTGATGGAAGGAGGAAAAGTCTGACCATTCTGTACAAATTATAGGAAGAATTTGGTGAGGAAAAAAGGAGACTAGAAACGAGACTATTACCTTAAAATGTTTTCTTTTAATGTTTTTCAAATTCAAAAATCCCTATCCCTTTTTTACACCTTAAATTTAGTTATGTTGAATATTCCTTGGCTCAGTTAATTTATTATGCAATGAAAGAAAGTGCTACAAGTGAACAGTCTTCTCGAATGACTGCAATGGATGGAGCAAGCAAAAATGCTGGTATAATAATTTTATCTTTTTTTCTATTTAATTAAATTTAAAGGAGAAATGATCGACAAATTGACTCTTCAATTTAACCGAACTCGTCAGGCAGTAATTACTCGTGAATTAATTGAAATTATTTCTGGTGCTGCTGCAGTTTAATTTTGTTTATTTGAAGTCAATTTGAAAAAAAAAAGATAGGTTTGATAAAATAATAGATTAAAAAAAGTTTTGTTTGTTAAATTGGGGGAATTAAAAATGACTAGACAATTTTTTAAATAAAAATTGTTCTTTGCTTTTTTTGTTATTTTGATGTTTGTCTTTAAATTTTTAATTAAATAAAAACATTGTTTAAAAAATTACTAATGTTAAGCGAAGATATTAGATATACCCATAATATAATTTACAAAATGTTTTCGATGACATTCAATTAAATTTCTTATCAAGGATTAAATTCTTTTTCGGCTTTTCCTTCTCATAATTATGAAAAAAAATAATTTTGAGAACAACCCCTTTTTTGTAAAATTTAAAAATAATTTTTTTAAATAAACTTTTGAATTGTTTACAATTCGAAAAAATCTGTTCCTTCCTTCTTTTTTTAAATATTAATTTTTTCGTTTCTCATAATTTTATTTTAATATTACTAATTTAGAGAAAAGAAAAAAAAACCACAAAATTTTACACTCGTAATCGTCGAATACGAAGAACAAAAATAATAATAATTTTTACTTTTGTGTAATATAAACTATTTTATTATACAATTGATCATATGGGAATAGTAAAAAATAAAAAAATAAAATTTTTTATATAATCTACCGAACACTTTATTTGCGTAATGTTTTTTGCGTCAAGGTGATTTTAAATGCTTTGTACTAGAATATATTTGTATTTAATATATATTTTTAGTACGTGGGTATGAAAAGCCTAAAAAATTTTTTTTCGTCTATCTTTCGCGAATAAGGAGGAGGGGGGATGGTGGGTGATTGACAGTTTTTTTTAGGGTTGCCGTTTTCGAGTCGGGCCGACGGTCGAGGCATTTTTTTTCGGGCTTGTTTTTATCGAGTCGGGCCGGTACGAGTCTTTTTCGGGCCTAACTTTATCGAGTCGGGCCGATACGAGTCTTTTTCGGGCCCAAATTTATCGAGTCGGGCCGGTACGAGTCACTTTCGGGCCTGACTTTATCGAGTCGGGCACCGAGACATTTTCGAGTCTTTTTTTAAAAGATTTATTTAAAAATAATTAGTGGATTTGGAGGGATATCTGTGAATTAAAAGGTATATCGATGGATCAGGAGGATAAAGGAATGGCTGAAGAGAATTGAAATGGATATCAGTGGATTTGAGGGATTAAGGTGATTTAAATTATCGGAGGATTGGGGTGAGATATTGCTAGATTTGGTTTTACTAAAGGAGATCAGATGATTAAGGGGTTCAGGATCGTATATCAGATGATTAAGGTGATATATTGTAATGGGATTTAGAAGGAATGAGGAGATTTGAAGGGATATCGGGGATATCGTGCGTTAATCACCAAATCCCTTAATAAAATCCCGCTGTATGCTAAAATTCCTCGTATCCTTGATCCTCGTACACTTAATAAATTCATCGTACACTTAATCCAAGGGCGTGTCCAGTGGGGCTGCTAGAACTGCGGAAAATTGTGGACTCTCAAAACTGATTGAGTTTCAAAAGTTCAAATTATGACGGGATCCCGCGGAATATATACCATAACTCCAAGTAATCCAGCTCATCAATTAAAGCCAGTAAGTTCGAGATGTGAAGCAAAGGGAGCTAAAAATCCTTCATTTCAGCGCCGCAGGCAAAAATTTTGAGATATTCGGAAGGCTAAGGACCAAACTTCTTCCTTTTTCAGCGCCGCAGGCGAAAATTTTTCGAATTTTGGAAGGCCAAGGAGCCAGATTTCATCCATTTTTGTCCACAAATCTGGTAAAAATATTATCGAGTCTTGTTCGAGTCGGGCCGACTTTTTCCGAGACAATTTTTTTCGGGCCTGTTTTTATCGAGTCGGGCCGGTACGAGTCACTTTCGGGCCTAACTTTATCGAGTCGGGCCGTTACGAGTCTTTTTCGGGCCCAAATTTATCGAGTCGGGCCGGTACGAGACTTTTTCGGGCCAAACATCGAGGCATGACTCGATCTTTCGGTCCGAGTCGGTCCATTTTGGCAACCCTAGTTTTTTTCATTATTTTTCTCTTAAATGGTGTGTCCCCAAAAACACCAAAAAGTAATCGTTTAATATATTTAGCTCTAATTTTTATTTTTTTTATTTTTCTTATATTTGTAATAGTGTAGTGTGTGTGTGTATATTTTTAAACAATTCTTTTTAAAAGGAATGAAGGTTTTTTTCGCCTTTTAGGAATGTTTGATAGTGTTTTTAAAGTGGTAAGGCGGGAAAAGTCATTCCCCCCTTCAACTTCCCGGCGCAGTCATTTTCTAAAGAGAGTAAGGCAATCATTTGCGCCTAAAAAAGCTCAAAAAAATTTTTATACTTTTCTTCCCACATTTTTAGGCTCCCCTACAAAGGATAGATGAATTAAAGGATAGATGCGCTAAAGGATAGATACGGCCAAAAACTATCAAAGGATAGATGCATCAAAGGATAGATGCACTAAAGGATAGATACGGCCAAAAGCGATCAAAGGATAGACAGCTGAATAGGTCGTTTGAGTCTGGACAAAAATGTTTAATAATCTGAATCTTCGCTGGAAAAACTGTTTTTGTGCTGCTACGGAGGGTAGGCCGGGCATGGTCTTCGCTACACGATGGCCGTGCTTCGCTGCGGTCGTGCTCGCTTCGCTCGCGGCGACCGTAGCGAAGCGGCGGCCGTCGTTCCGCTCGACATGCCCGGCTTCATCCGCAGCGGCAAAAACTTTTTTCCACGAATATACTAAAGTACAAATAAAATAAAAATCAGAACAGAAACATGAAATCAGAACAAAGATCTGAAAAAAACAAACAAAGATCAGGCACTCAACAGTTGGTACTCAACTGGACTCCAAACTTTATCTATGTTTTACCCAATTTTAGACGTGTCTATACTTTAATGGATTCTACCCCTATCTATCCTTTGGCGCATCTATCCTTTGATGCATCTATCCTTTAATCGTTTTTTGCCTTATCTATCCTTTAGCAGCTTTTGGCCGCGTCTATCCTTTGATCGATTTTAGCCGTATCTATCCTTTGATTCATCTATCCTTTGAGCGGGCACGCATTTTTATGCTTTTGTGATCGATTCATCATTCTAGCAGTTAACTAGCCCCATCTTTTCTTTTAATTCTCCCCCTATACCCCCTCCTCCCTATTTTTACTTACATTAGTAACTATTTCCGCAATCATCCTCCTTCCCAATTCTCTCCTTTTAATCCATCTACTACCACACAACCAGTCGGCTTTTAATATAATTTTTGTTTTTTTTAATAAATAATAACCGGGCTTAAAAGTAATTAAATAAAAATATTTTTGAGATGTCCAAAAAAAATTCCAAAAAAAAATTTTAAAAACTTTTTCTTGTTGGCTTTTTTTCGATTTTGTTTATTTATATGGGAATTCTATTTTTTATCATTTATTTAAGTTTAAAATTTTTGGATTCCCCCCACGCTTCTCCTCTATCAATTGATGGTTGATAGACTAATCAAACAAAACCTCCCCCCCCCCCTCCCTCTCTATTAAGTTGGACTAACTTTTCTCTTCTTCTTCTCCTCCTTCACCACCTCCTCGAACCATAGCAAAAGCACATTTTTAACTAGTCTATCCGCCGCTTCCCCCTTCGATTATTCGTTGTTAAATGACAATACGATTATTTAGAGAAGTTATTAAAATATTTAACAAACCCGCAAAAAACTCTTTTTTATTTCTAAATTTTTAAATGGTATTTTAAACTTAAAAATTAACTAAAAATTAATTTTTGAATGTGTTTTTCTTTTAACTTATTAAAATTTTAATAAAAAAAATTTATTTTGGAAAATAAAATTTTTTTGTGGATTTTTTAGAGGGGGTATTTTTTTCGCAATTTGTACTTTTTTAAAAAATGTAAAAAAAAATTTTTTTTTAATTCTCTTAAAAAATGTCTAGAGAATAAAACGTCAAACATTTATCGATTTAAGAGAAAAAGAAACTAGTTTTAATGTGGATTTGTGATACAATTGAATGAATTAAAATAATAAATATCCAATAATCTTTGAACTTGTTTACGGCATTTAATAGAAAAAATTCTATTTTTGGATTTCAATCCTTTTTATGCTTTATTTGCATATTTAAAATTAATAAGAAAATGGTAAACAGAAAATATTTAGGAATAAAAAAGTTTTTTTGTTTTTTTTTATTTTTTCGCAGATTTTCTGGAATATTAAAATTCGAGAATTGTTTTTGTTATTTTAAATATTAAAAACAGCACAAAAAAACAATAACAATTATTTATTTAAACTTTAAAAACTTCACTACCTCCCAAACATTTTAATTAAGATTAGTCGATTTTCTTTTTTAATTTTTCTCGAATCGGGAATTAAAATTTAATTTTTCCCTTTGTCTAATGGACTCAATATAATTTTATGTTTAATCTATTATAATATTGATTAGAGGGAAGAAGGGAGAACGTTTTAATTTTTTCCCATTTTTTATTCTTTCCATTCATCTGATTAAAAGTTTTTTTTAATTTAAAAGAAAATTTTTAATTTAAAAAAAGTTCAAGTTAATAATTTTTTAAAGAAAAAAAAATTAAAAGAAAATCGACAACGGGGGAATTTTAAAAATATTTTTTTAAGCCTCGATTTTTGTTTTATTAAATTTACAGTCGTGGAAAAAAGTATGGAAGCGCTATAAAAATTTTATTTAATTCTTAGTTTTTCATTCAAAAAATACGTTCTATATACCAATCGAAAGCTCTATTCGTATCTCAGTTGACATGTTTCTGCATTTTTCATAAAAATGAAAATTGGCCGAGATAATCCGGATCTACCGGATATACCAAATCCCATTTTTTCGGAAAAATTTTTCGGAAGAAATTTAACAAACCCATTTTATAAAGCATATTTTTCTGAGTATTTTCCACAAAACCGCTTAAAAATATCTTTTTCCGGAACAGAGATATGATTTTTTGAAAATCGTATTTTTCGTCAATTTTTGCAAAAAATTCAATTTTTAAGCGAAAAATGCAATTTTCAAAAAATCATATCTCTGTTCCGGAAAAAGATATTTTTAAGCGGTTTTGTGGAAAATACTCAGAAAAATATGCTTTATAAAATGGGTTTGTTAAATTTCTTCCGAAAAATTTTTCCGAAAAAATGGGATTTGGTATATCCGGTAGATCCGGATTATCTCGGCCAATTTTCATTTTTATGAAAAATGCAGAAACATGTCAACTGAGATACGAATAGAGCTTTCGATTGGTATATAGAACGTATTTTTTGAATGAAAAACTAAGAATTAAATAAAATTTTTATAGCGCTTCCATACTTTTTTCCACGACTGTATATGTTGGATTATCTCCTAATTCATTCCCTCCAGATAATTAAACATTTAAAACACATAAGCGAGCCTATAACTTTTTTTTTATCTTTTCTCGCTTTTTATGATTGATTTTTGCGAAGTAGCTCAATTTTTCTATTAAATATTTTTTCTGTTAAATTAATTTATCGTCAAGTTTGAAATTTATTTTATCGTCAGATTAATAATTTTTTTAACCAAAATTTGTTTTAAGAGGTGTGGGTCCGCGCCGAAAAGTCCGTGATAAACCGAGGTGGTCCATAAATATTTTGTTGATTTTAAAATCATTTATTAGACTGACATGGGATTGTCTAAACTCATGCTATATTTTTAAATCAATCTTTTTTTAATGGCGCTCACATCATTTAACTATTCTTGTGTTTTTATATTATTTCGTTACAAATTTTTCAAAATACTATTTAAGCCAAATTTTCAGTTGTGAACCTTATTTTTCAATAAAAATGCTCAAACAAAACATCTATCAACATTCCATTTCGTCTTCTTCCAGTGCTCAGCCCGAACAACAGGAATCAACGCGATATGACGTTTTTGAACTTGCAAGCGAGAATCAGCCTCAGACAAGCCTGCTGTTAAAGTTAACGGACGAATGTAGTGCTGCCATAAGGAATGCTGTCAACTCAAAGTGTCCTGTCAGGATGCACATTAAGGACGGAGTAATTAATTTACTCACTACCTTTTTAACATATCTATGGCTTAAGGTAGCTTCTATTGAAATACGTGACAGGGATGGGGCTTGTGTCAACTTCAAATGTTCATTCCAAAATCAGCCGGCGACAGACACGATATGCTATGATCCTAAACAGAATGTCTACAGGTTTGATTTTAAGTCGACGATTAAAATTTTATTTGTTCAATTTAGGAATGTTGGAACGACTACAACGACTAAAATACAGGTTTTTGATATTAGATTGTGAACCTTAATATCAAATCAAAATTTGTTAATAGGTTCAAGCAACCGACAAGACCTTCGCTGAGATGAAGGAGAAGACTCAACGGCTGGTCGAGGCAGAGCAACAAAGGAAAGCCAAGGATATTTCAAAAATTCAACGGCCTTCAGCAGCTTCCAAAAAGCCAATACTAAACCAGTCGAGCAACAGCCTTATCAAGAAAAATGTGCCAGCGACTTTTGGACATTCCAACACAAATAATATCCTTGCTAAATTGAGTGCATTGAAGAGGCATTCTCCTTCGCCGTTGAATGTTGCTGCTGCAAAGGTCAAACGTGTTGAAAAACCATTAGAAAGGCCGACGCCGTTGCCTTCAAAAGAAGTTAAGAATATCAAACAAGAAGAGCCAGCTCCAAAGAGCATGGATATGACAGTCAAAGCTGTTCGTTCTGCCGAAGATAATGAACGCCAAAACACGTTGACGGTTTGTTTTTTGGTTTAAAGCTTTGTTTAATCTCCCCAATTATTTTAAGCAGTATCCAAAGAAGATTGAGTTTGCCGCTGCCAATAATGCCAAAAACGATCCCTTCTATGTCCCAAAAAGGAAGCCACTTCACCGGCCACCATCAATTTCGCCAGCGTCTACAACGACTTCAACACCAAAAACTATTTCCCCACCGCTTGCCATGGCTAGACCTGCTTCTGTTGACAGTGCACAATTGCAGCATAGTTCCTCTTGCTCTCCGGAAGATTTAATTAATAATCAAGAGGAAAATGGTCGTCAACAAGATGAAGGATCGATGACTTTGCCAACTAAACTTTCTTGTGATTGGTCTCTTAAATTTGGAAAGATTGCTAATAAAGAAGAAGCTAAAAGATATCATGGAATCTTTAAGGTCAGAAAATTTTTTTTATTCTCTATAAAATCAAAATTATTTTAAGGAAGATTATCCGGAATATCGCAAATGCTATGATTTGATGGAAAAAGTCGCTGTTGAATTCCGAGCTCTTCAAACAAAATTAACTTCTGCTAAATCAGATGTTGATCGTTTTGAGGTCATTATTTTTAAAAATGTTTCTTTTATTTATTTTTGTAAATTTAAGGTTGAAGATCAAATTAGAAGCAAATTTGCTTCTTATCAATGCAATCAAGACTTTCTTCAACAGCGTGTGAGGCACAGTGATTTGCGTGCAAAATTGGATTTGTTAAAATGCCGTCTGAAGGAATGGAGCGATAAAGAGAAGAGTGGATATAAGATGGAGCTTTGAAAGGAGGTTAAAATATAAAGATTATATTAGGAAATTAAAACGGTTCTATTTTTTGTAATTTTCCTTCACGTGGTAATAATTTCGAAATCTGTTTTCTTTGGTTTTTAATGGACATAGTATATATTCTTTTTCTAAAATTTTGTTGCTTCGATGCTTTTTTGTTTTTTCTTTTGTATCTGTTGCATAAATTTGATCAGAAAAATTAGTTTAGAAAAGTTGGTTTGATTTTTGAGTTTTCCTATAAATTCTCTAAAAATTTTTTTTTTGACTTATCCTTGTTTGGGCGGATTTATACCAGCAAAGGTTTTTTTCCTCTGTCCAAATTTATGCACTTTCTATAGTTGTTATTTAATTTCTACGCATATCTTAAGTTCACAAGCCCATAGCTTAAAAGTAAATATATTCATATAAATACCCATAAGATCAGGTTGTTACAGTAAATCCGTTAAATTTTGTACGTGCTTCTTAAATTCCTGTTTTTTTATAAAATTATTTTAAAAAACATACTGGTTATTTTCTTCACAAATAAATCATCACTTTAAGGGCCATTTTCTAATGTAGTTTTATATTTTTGTGATTTTCACTTTTTTTATTTTGCTAAAATGAAATAAAAAAAATTTTAAACTCAAATGTTTATTTAGCATTGAATTAAGAATAAATTTTCATTAAAAAGAAAAACAATATTTTACTTAAGTAGCTTTTAACTAGTTCCAAATTCTTTCTGATAAATTACACGTTTTATATGTACAACTATTCAGTAAAAGTTCTGAATTAAGGAATTTCCTTTTAAATTTTTTAATGTCCTAATTTTTCCATTATGGGATTTTAAGGTCATTTTTTAAGGTTGGAACCTTGTTTTTAATCCAAAATAGCTATTATTTCTTAATCACAAAAATATTAAATAAATTTAGATATTTGTATTAGTAGTTGCAATTTTTATAGTAAATTACCTACCTACATATACATATTTGTTACTTTTTTTATTTTCTATAACTTTAAGAAAAAAAGTTGTGTGTTTAATTAGAGAAATGCCTATATTAAAAATAATCTTTTTAAAAATTAAAAGCCTTTTATATATTTTTATTTAAAAAGTTTTAAATATATCAAGAAAATTATTTTATTTTACGTGTAAATTGTGGCTATTTAAGAAAAAATTTGCGAAGTATTTTCTCTCTCATTTTTAATTACAATTGTCGCTTTTTGTTATTGTGCAGCATTAAAAAGTAGAGATTTAATTAAAATTAAATTTTGGATTAATTAAATATTTTTTTAAACTTAAAATCTCTACTAAATAAAAAAGAATGCGCAATTTTTATAAAAAATACATGTTCAATTTATTTGTGAACTGGTACAAGAAAAATAAAACATTCGAATGTTGTGATATTTTGCTAGAAATTTTTCATTCCAATTAAATGGCAAAAAAAATTAAAAAATGTATTGAAAAACAAAATTCTGGTTTAAAAATTAAAAGAATTTTTTTGTTTATCTTAAGTAATTTAAATATAACCAGAATTTTTAAATTTATTCTACATTAACAATGCAACATTTATTTTACAAAAAAATGTTTAAAATTATAAATTTATTTTGTATACTATTTACTATGCTCATTTCAATTTTAAAGATAAAAAGAGATTAAATAAAGTGTTTGAACTTGTGTTTTTACTTTTTATTTGTTATAAGCTTTTTTATAAGCATTTTAATTGTAAAGTTTATTGGGACGTTGAAAATTTATTTTAAAAAATTTATTTTAGTTTAGAATGTCATTAGATGTTAAACAGGAAAGATGTTATTGGTTTTTTAATTTATATAATTCATTTTCACTGAAAGGGTTCGAACCTCTTTCATTTTTCGTTGTAAAGTGGGCGCATTTAACCGACTAAACCATACTTACGCACTGAAAGAGGGGTTGCATTCTGCCTATTTTAAAGTGAATTTATGATTTTTCAGTTGCCGTTGACTTGTTTTCTATTTCGTATTAAATAGACACACATACATATGTACACTTGTGAATAATTTTTTTAACAAAGTGGAATGATTCATAAATTACTATGAGTCATTTTAATTATTAAATTATTTTCTCCAATTTTTAGTAATCAAAACTAAATTTATCTTTTTTCTTTTTTAGCTTTATAATTAATTTATTTCTTTTAAAAAATGATAATGTCTGGACAAAAAGAATTTGGAGAGCAGGATATTGCTAGTATGTTAAAGATTATGGAAGAAGCTAAAAAGCATAATGAACAGGCTAGACAAGCTTATTTAGCTCAAGACTATCGGTTTTTTTTTATTTTTTTTTTATTTTTATCAAATTAATTTAGTAAAGCTGTACAGTTTTATCACCGTTGTATGCTTTCTGTAAAAGCTGTTGTTCAACTGACAAATACAGATTTGCGTGAAATGGCTCGTGCACTTATTGACAATAAAACTGAAGATGGAAAGTCTGACAATTTGCAAACTAGTAGTGTAAAGACTGAACAACCTTTGAAACAGTTACAAACTGAAGGTTTTTAATTTTGTTAAAAAATGAATAATTTAAGAAATTCACAACAGCTATTTAGTTTAAAATCACGTTGGTGAGGGCTAAATCAAGGAACAGACAACTCAAGGAACGACCAAAATATGAAATATTTTAAATATCTGAATTTTTCGGAATTTTTTTAATAATGTTTTTAAAGTATTTTTAAAATATTCCATGATTTGGTCGTTCCTTGATTTGTCTGTTTCTTGAGTTAGCCCGACACGAAAATCACGCAGAAGGAAAAATTTCCCCAAGAAAAATTTAAACAGAATAATGGATTTTTTGCTACAATGAAAAAATTTCTCTACTGTTTGTTAATAGAAAAACGCCTTTTTTGATTAATAATTCCTAAACCATTACTTTTAAAATTTTTTCAGGTTCACTTTCCACTGCCAGTAGCAGCTCTCGAATTCGTCAAGATTCTACAACGTGTGGACAAGAGATTCTCACAGAAGCTAAAGATTTGATGACTAAATGTTATAATAATTTGGCAGCTTGTCTTTTAGCTCGTGATTCGAACACAAAAGAGGACTTTATGAGAGCGGTCTTTTATTGTGATAATGTGGGGAATTAATTTGGGAATTTTAAATTAATTTTTTGAAGGTTTTGAAAGATGACCCAAATAATGAAAAGGCTTTGTTTCGAAAGGGAGTGGCTTTGATGCGGGCTGATAGTTGGGATAAGGCAATTGAACAATTGGAGAAATGCAAAGATAGTAAGGAAATTTTGAAAAATAACACAAAAACGTTTTTAGATGCCCAAGCAAAACTTTACATAATTGACTGTAATCGATATATTGAAGAGGATCGTCGACGACGAGATGCTGAAATTCGTGCAAATTTTGCGAAGGCTCGCGCTGGAGAGGTTAATTTCTTAAATTGTTTAATCCAAAATTAAAAAGAAATATTTCAAGTAGATCGGGGCCTTTTCTCTGTTACTATATCATTTATTAAAAAATTTGTTGTAAACGATGACCTAGTTATCTGTTGTGAGCTGAACCATGAAGTTTTTAATTTATGTAGTTTCCCCTTATTGGAAATCCGGGTAAACCCAGATTTAGGGTTCTCCCCAAGTTTTCTCCTATATATTTGCAGAATGGTCAGACCTACCCTAAACCCTGGTTTACCCGGAAATCATCCATCCTGCATGTCTATTCTGTTAAGGATTCTTTTATGTTAACATTCCTTTCCAATAAAAATTGTGGATGGAGTATTCCTATCGATAAACTTTATTTTAACAATTTTAATTTTATTCACAAATTAAATTGAAATTTTTTTTAAAGGATAATGTGCACGTAGGCAACGCAAATGGACCTTTACAGGATAATAATAACAATCATCCTCCACCTCCCCCTACAATGAATGGACATGTTCAACACTGATCTTTAAAGGAAATAAAATGAGAGGAGAGAAGAATTGGTTGGGCTATAGTGCCTAGAAAATCTTAAAATTTTAAATGAGTTTTTTAAATAGATTCTTTAAACATTTGTTTGATTTTGAAAAATTTTTGGCATAGAAAATAGCAGAAAAGATTTTTTGATAGATCTAATCTATGAATGACTTTTTTAGACTACAATTTTATGCCAAAAATTTAAACATTTTAAATATATGATTTTAATTAAAAAAGTAAAATCAAAATGAATTTCAAAAAAAAACGAGAATAATGGAAAATAATAGTTTATTTGAGAGAAAATAATTTAGAGTAGGTAAATGTACAGCTGGGAGTCCTTATGTCTGCAAAGGGCTTTAACGAAATTTACTAGGAATCGAACCAAAGCCTAAACCAACAATAAATTAGGTGTAGGTTAACGACTGGCCGAGCTAACTACTGGACCAGTCGCTCCTCTAACAATAAGTGAAAATGAAAGAAATTAAAGATACTAATGAAAAAATATCCGCCTTTTAAGAATATTTTTAAGAATACAATCGGTCCTTTTACATTAATCCTTGGGCTGAAATTACCTTAAAAATTCGATGGTTTATCCATTATTGGTGTTTATTGCTCTTAGATAGCAATTTATGTGTTGGATATAACTTATAGTAAGGTTAGACTAATAGAAAAAATAATGGTTGGGATTTTGATTAAAGAGTTGAGATGGACATATTTATTTACAAGCAATTTTAATGAGATTTATGCTTAAAAATATTTTTCAAAAAATAAATTTTTGTTCATAAACAAATCCAAATTATTATTTTAGTTTTTATTAGAATATGTATTATCGCTAAAATAATTTTTACTAGTTTAATTGTTAGAGAATAAAAAAAAGACTACTCTATTAATTGCCAAGAGACAAATAAAAAATAAAAAAGATCCGTTTAGTCTTAGAATAATTAATTATTAATTTTTCTCCCACCTAATTTTTCTTCAACTTTTATTTGTTTAAAAACAGCTTTAATTTTTAGTTAAATTCCTGATTTTTAGCGAAAATAAAAAGAAAAGAATGGATTGCCTTGTACTTGACAACTTTTTTCTTTTTTTTCGCCACTTCCTTTTTTGTTAAAACTTTCGTTAATAAATAATTATATTTTATTGGTTATCATCTTTTTGGGTGGCAAGGAGGGAGAGAGAACAAACAATTGATTGATTGTCTTAGAACGGCGCCGCAGGTGGCAATATTATTAACTTAATAATTAATAATTTTGCGAGAAAATCTTTTCTTTTTCTAATAATTTTGCGCATAAAACGAAACAAGAAAATAATAATTTTTAATAAATTTTTTGTTTCTTTATTGGAGGAGAAGCTTCTCTCTCTCTTTCTCTCTCATGCACGGCAAGATGAAAGGAAGAGCTGGCATAAAGAAGTAAAAAAAGGGAAGATGAGGAGTTATGATCGGATAAAGCGAGAAAATGAATGGAAAGAAAAAAGAAAGAAAATATTTTTATTATTAGACCGGTCTATGCTTTTGCTGTTTTTAACTGCCCTTGAAAGGAATAAATCAAGGGAAAGTAGTTAAAATAGTAGATATTAGCTTTGGCGAGATAAATATTAAATGAGAGAGAAGGAAAAATGATGATTGAGTGAGTGAATGATGATATAGTGTGTGTAGGGAAGGAATAAGGGGGGAGGGAAGGGGGAATAAGGAAGGAAGGGCCTTCTGAATATTTTTAGGAAAGAGAAATTTTTAGAAAAGCTTTGAAAAGTAAAAGAAGCTAAAAATGGGCGGGAATAGCTTCTCGTCTTTATTACATCCGGCCGGAGTTCTCCCAACAACAAACCACCCGTGCTTGTGAAAGGGGCGAGACGTTCACGGCTATAAAATCGCCATTCAATGGATATTAAACAGCATTTGGCTACTCAATTAAAATAAAATAATATTCTTTAAACAACGCTAGTTAATTAAAATAAAATAATTATGATTCTCAGACTTGCTCTTATCAGTTCTGCATTTTTGGCAATTACTGTCCGAGCAATTCCTGTCGACAACTCTCTTGTAGGGGAACCAGAAATAGAATGTGGGGCAACATCTATTACTGTAAACTTCAATACCCAAAACCCATTTGAGGGGCACGTTTATGTTAAAGGACTTTTTGACCAGCAAGGATGCCGTTCAGACGAACATGGAAGACAAGTAGCTGGTATTGAACTTCAATTCGATACTTGTAATGTTGCACGTACTCGTTCATTGAATCCAAAGGGTGTATTTGTGTCAACAACAGTTGTTATATCCTTCCACCCTCAATTTGTTACTAAAGTTGACAGAGCATATCGTGTCCAATGCTTCTACATGGAGGCAGACAAAACTGTTTCTGCACAGCTTGAGGTGTCCGAAATTACAACACAATTCCAAACACAAATTGTACCTATGCCTGTGTGTAAATATGAGGTAAAATTTCCAAAAAACTTTTTATAAAAAAATATTTTCAAAACAACAGATCCTCGAAGGGGGCCCAACTGGTCAACCAATTCAATTTGCCATTATTGGCCAACAAGTTTATCACAAATGGACTTGTGATTCAGAGACAATAGACACATTCTGCGCTGTTGTACATTCTTGTACTGTTGATGACGGTAATGGTGATACTGTCCAAATATTGAATGAAGAGGGTTGTGCTTTGGATAAATTCTTATTAAACAACTTGGAATATCCAACTGACTTAATGGCTGGACAAGAAGCTCACGTTTATAAATATGCTGATCGTTCACAACTTTTCTATCAATGCCAAATTAGTATTACAATTAAAGAACCTCACAGTGAATGTGCACGTCCAAAATGTGCAGAGCCTTCTGGCTTTAATGCTGTCAAAGTTGGCGCTGGAGGGGCGGCGGCAGGAGGAGCACCACCTGCCCCAGCTGCAGCAACACCTGCACCTCCCCCTCAATCTCCAGCACCCGCAAATCCAATTTCTGGACGTCGTCCTGCTGCTGCAGCACTTGCCCAACTCCGACTTTTACGTAAACGCCGTTCAGCTCCAGGAGAACAAATACTTGATGTTCGTACTGAATTTAGTGCTCTCGACATTTCTGACAAGGTAGAAAGAGTTTTATCATAAGTTTAACAATTTCTCTCTTTTATAGACTCCAGTCTTGCCATCAGAAATCCGTACTCGTCAACCAGAACGATTTTTAATGGCCACTGTCCAAGAAGGAATTTGTATGAGCAGTTTTGGCTTTTCAATGTTTATAGGCCTCGGAGGAATGATGTTAGCAGCTACAGTCGTTGTGTTAACTTATGCTTTCCGGCCTCACCAAGTGTTAAGCAACACAAAAGCTTAAATTTAATTTTTAAATAAATTATTTTTTGGCATTATGTGATTAAAAATATTTATTTTTAAATTTTTCCTTTAAAATCTCTTTTTTATATTTTTTTGCACGATTATTGCTGAAAATCACCCAAAATTATAAATAATTATTTTTAATTTCCCCCAGCTCAAATTACCTATTTTATACCCTCCCTCCATTCTTTAGCCAATAATTTATTTTAAATTGTTGAAAATTAGTTTGTCCTTTTTTGTTTTTTTTTTTTTGTATTTTTCTGCCGTTGTCGTGCAGAAAATTTAATTTTTTAGCAAAATATTTTTCTTGACCATTAAAATTATAAAAATGTTTTTTAAATTTATTTTTTATTTGTTTGAGCAAAAAATCCTTTAAAAATAGAGAAAACCCCAAAAGATCAACTCTAGTTGATCTCTTGGGTTAATTCCTTAGAGGAAAACAGGCTTTAGCACTTTTCTTCTATCATTTCCTTAATCTGCTTTTCTTTAATTTGTTTTTATCTTTTAAAAACTTGCTTTCCCTTTCCTTTGGATAGAACGCGGAAGTTAAGCAGTTAATTACCCGAAATAAACACTTTTTGATATTTTAATCCGCTTTTGGTGATATTGAAAAGGAGAGGAAATGAGGGGTCCGATATTAATTAGTGATTAAGTGATTAACAACGATCAACTTTTAAATGTTTTTAGAAAGTACAATAATTAATGTGTGGTATTTGTTTTTGAGTTTGTTACAAGCAAAAATAAAGTGAATTACCAGAAAATAAGAGAATTAATATGATTTTATGTAAGAACCCTCCCAACGCAAATTTATCAACTAACGATTAACTAGGCTTATAAAAATCAGCCCATTTTAAAACTTTGATAATTAATCTCTTTCTTTTATTCTTTTATAATAAATTTCTAAATTCAAACAATAAATTTACAAATTTCTACGCATCACAGAATTTATAACAATTCAAAAGTGGATCTTCAGGAAAAGATTTTATAGCTAACAAAAATAAAAATAATCGTAAAAAATGAAAAGAATAACCAAAAAAACTTAAATAATTATAAATAAATTGTCACAAAAAATATCAAAATAATACAATTAATAATTAAGTTTTAGAAAAAAATGAAATTCATGATTAATTTCTGAGGGATTATTGATAGGACCGGTAAAGGATGTTTTGAACAAAAAGGACATTTTAATGAAATTGTTAATAAGTAAAATTCTAATATAAATTTATGTAGGACGAAGTCGTCCAAACTTTAAAATTCTTAATTTTTGACTACTTCTAAATATATTTTCACTTAATTAATTTAAATTATCGTTCCATTTTATTCCATGTGCCAAAAGGAAAATTGAGAGCCAGCTA